TAACAATAATAATAATTATAGCAATAACAATAATAATATCAATCATAGTAACCATAACAATCATCATCATCATCATCATCATCATCATCATCATCATCATCATCATCGTCATCGTCATCATCGTCATCAACAAATCACCTGGTCGTGCAAGATCTGTTTCCGCTGTATCCTCCCGTTCTCAATGACAAACACCGGGAAGTCCACAATGTCTTTCTTAGCGTCTTTCCTCAAGCCCCGCGCGCTTCTCCCTAACCTCAGGTTGACCTCCCGTGACCCCAGGTCAAACCGGAAGTGGAGGTCGTCCGGAAGGACTTCCGCTGCGCGCGCGAATCGACTTCCTCCGTGGTCATGGTGGGATGAAGGGGTGACTAATTCTACTTGAACTTTTTCTGGGGACAGAAATAATCTCTTGTTAGACACAGTGTAAGTTTATATTAAAATTTTAGAACATTTTGTGAATCAAATCTCCATATTGGAAATTATTTATGTGTGGCATCGGGGTAAATCAGGCGCTCTTCAAAGTAATGAAAGAGAAAGCAACAATTTTCATCCGGTTTGACAATTTCTATATTTATTTTGAGAGGTTTAAGGTTGGGATTTTTGGGTTATTTAAAAAAAAAATTGTTATATGCCTATTCAAAAACACATTTCAGTGTGCATTTTACTAAACAATGTTGATCAAAGGCATAACAGCTCCAAATTTGCAGTTTCCTCGGACATTCGTCGAAGCGACCCCTACATCTGCAACGGAAAATATCTCGACTTCAATTCAAGAGAGTGGATATTTTTTTTTCCACGAAAAGGAAGATTAGTGAGCTGGCATACTTTAAGATGATACCAATAACTATTAACTCCATAATATGTCCAAAGATTGACGAGCGCCTGATTCCACCACGTCTTAACACCATCTGAATATTTTATACATTGAAAGAACAAAAGGCACCATTTTGGCAGTTTTATCACATTTTTCAGATTTAAAATAAAAATAAAAAGAAGAACGAAGGTGAACGTGCTAAAGGGTTCTTTGTTAATGTTTCGCTTGACAGAAAACCTTGCCACATCGATTTCTTACTACTTTCAAAGCTTGGAGTGGTTTTAACAGTGTTATTTTCTTTGGCAGTTTTTCTTGGCAAAAGTTTGGTAGGAGGGGCGGGGGGGGGCGAAAGGTACGAAAGGATTTTGGGGGAGGGAGGGATGGGAAGGGGGAGGGGGGGCAGAAAGGGGAGCAACCAGACAAAGCATCAAGAAAGTTGTGCATTATACCCGGGTACTCCAAAATATACACCACTACCGATTTCGCTTCTCCCATTAGGATTAACAAAACGTTTGAAAACACATAGACCCTTTGCCACTGCCAAACGCGCGATCGTCTGAGCACGTTATTAGCTCGGTTTCCACATTAAGCTTGATGGCCTTTGTCGCCCACAGTTTGGCATGACGACTAAAAGGACGGCGTCTCCAGTGTAGTGGTTAAGCGCCTCATCGTCGCTGTCAGGAGATAATGGTTCAATTGCTTTGTGGGGAGGTTTATTCTTTAAATCCGTACACCCTGGGGGTAATTTTGTACCCCCGGGGTTGTATTCTTCACATTTTAGAATACTTCTAGTGCAAAGATCTCTTTGAAACTTTCAGCATTTCTCAAAAATTATTTTGACAGACTACTATGCAAAGCGTACGGATCGGATTAACGAGTAAATTTCCTCTTTGGAAAGAGGTGGCACAGAGTTCCCCGCGTTGTATGGATACGATAGTAAAACGCGGCGTACGGATAGGGTTAAGTGGTGGCACAGAGTTCCCCGCGTTGTATGGATACGATAGTAAAACGCGGCGTACGGATAGGGTTAAGTGGTGGCACAGCGTCGTATGGATACGATAGTAAAACGCGGCGTACGGATAGGGTTAAGTATTTTAGAGTGAGTGTCTGCAGGGATTCTGTGTCCCTTTTAGCCTGGGTTGGCCCTGAAAGGCAAGATCGAAGTAGCCTTCTTCCAATTGTATGTAAACTGTGTCAATAGGGAAGTAGTAAATTATTTGCACTTACATTATTATACAACCGAAACTTGTTAATTAATTAATTTGGGGGGGGGGGAGAGAAGCTATATTGTAGGCTTACCATCTTCTTAGTTCATCGGTATCGAAAGGAATAATCACTTTAACGACCTTTTAAGTCAAATCAAAATTTGATTTTCAGATCATTTCAGAAGTTGGTTTCGACCCTGCCTGACAGGGATACAGTATCCCAGAAAAAAAGATCGAGATAGAGGAGAAAAATTATCCCTGCACAGCGAGATTCAAACTCAAGTCTTCTTTGTGGGACGCGGGAAGCACCTCACTACTGCACCACAGAGAGCTGTGTTTGTTAATTAAGAGGTAATCATTATTAGGAATGGAGAAATGTAGCACAGTAAAGTTATTCCTGCATCCGATCCGGACATTGGGGATTGCCTTGTTAGTGAAACACTTCCTGGGCCTTCGGCATATTGTTGTAGGGTGGCCAGTTCCTTTCAACGCCGCCTTTACTTTCCCAACTAGAAGTCAGGTACCCATTACTGCTGAGTGGAAAGGAGGAGGCGAAAAAAATCTGTGCCCGAACCGAGACTCGAACCCGGACTTTCCGCTTCGGAGACGATCGCACTAACCGCTCCGCCACCACACCCTCCTGTGTACTACATTCTGTAGCTAAACATACACTTTAATTTTGAGAAATCGTTAAGAACCTATTAACCATATACATTTGTATTTTGTAATATATCAGACATCCTTGTAAAGTTGGAATAAATCTTAGAAAAATAACAGTATCGTATATTTTCCAATCCTTGTAAAGTTGGAATAAATCTTAGAAAAATAACAGTATCGTATATTTTCCAATTTAGCCATCGTAAGAAATGGTAGCCAAACGCACACAAAATACGTTTCTCTTATTTAAAAAAAATCTGTTTACACATTTTTGTTGTTGTTACTTCGATTAATCTTTCATAACAAATGTTACATGTGTTTCCTGATTTATTATATATCAGGAAAAAAATATCACCCGGAAGGCCTAACCTTGCACAAGAACGTTGCTCTTAGAGTTGTGTAACCATGGAAACGCAGACGCCTGGGCCAGGAGGAGGAAGCAGAGAAGAGCCGTGGTCTCCATCACGTGACTACAGGGCCAGCTGGAAGAGACAGAGAGAACATCGTTGTTGGATGTCACACACATGCATACACACATACACACACACACACACACACACA